GGTACGCATACCACGCACCTGTACACCGGGTTTACAACTCAACCTTTCTTCCCCAGCAAAACTCTTCTCTGGACCATCGTTACCTACTCTTTACACATTCTTCTGAGATGTTTAGATTATGTTTATACATCAATGACAGTTTGGAAGCTCGCCGTTATCTTACTAGCGATTGGGAATTTCAAGACTCTGCCATTAATTTGGCATTTACGTATCGTCAACGCCTTTCGATTCTGTCTTCGCTCACAGCGACCGAAAGTAAAATGTGGACCACATCAAATTTTTCAGCCCTTGATCACTGAGTCACATGCTCCCTTGATGGAGATTGACTTGAACCTCCACAGTAAGTTGTGGATTCTACTATTTTTCCATGTGTATAGTCACTGACTCCCCTTAGAAAGTAACAGTTCCTACTTTTCAGATGCCGATGTAGCTCGAACACACTTGTTTTGTACGCTATTCTCCGAAGCTATCGAACAGATGAGAGGTGGAACAGAGGCAGTCACAGGATCGAAGGGACCAGTTTTCGGCATTGCTTTGGGAGCAGTAAATTGCAATTTTAAGAAGGAACTCAAGCCTTACGAATCATATGAGATGTGGACAAGAATTCTATCGTGGGACGAAAAATGGATATGGACTGTCACACATTTTGTTCGAAAAGATGCATCAAAACCAAAGTCATATACCCTTTATCCACAACAGAAATCGGATGAAGAAGATGAAAAATGCAAGGAATTGGATCCAAGAGCTGGTGTCGTAGCATCCTCGCTTGGCAAATGTGTTTTCAAGCAAGGTCGCAAAACAATCAGTCCTGAATTTATGATGAAGGCTTCTGGACTACTTCCGGATGATCTTCAGAAGAATGAAATGGATGCGCAATTGAATGAAGAAATCAAATCAGGCAACTTTGGAAAATGGACACATGCAAAGATCGAGGAAGAGAGATTGCGGGGAAAGAAAATTGCAGACACTTTGTCTGTAGAGAGCCAGCAGGAGTTGGAGGCATCATTCACTGGTGAATCTGAGGCATTAGGAAGACATACTGATGGTACTGGCTTAGTTGGTGTTTTATCCACTCTTGCTCAATTGGCGGGGCTGAAGAAAACCCAAATCTTATGAGCTACCAGCGCTCATGTGTTCTGGATATAAGGTTTTAATTGCTGTCTGTACATATTATAATTTTTAATCTGCCGCGTACATAGACAACAATTGCAGCGCATTTGTCACATGGTGTTGAAATGACTTCATCTTCACACGTTGAATGAATTTTTGTCTGTTGGAGATCAGTCCATACGCACAAAAGAAGCTTTTGTCACAGCGTCGGCCCATCGAAGATTCGGGTCGTGATTCAAATAACCTAAAATGTTTAGCTGGCTGAGATGTCACAGACCAATTCCTCCGGTGAAGATCTACATCGAAAAACCCAGTTCTCCTCCCGAATGGTGCCGGATATCTGTACTAGTTCGTAGCCCGCATATCTACAATAGTATATATTGTTGATCGGCAATCCCGTATCTGCAACTAATGGTTCACCTACGTAATCAACTATGCCCAATATCTCACATCGTAATTTGGATTGTGGTGAACAAAGGAGTTGAAACAACTTTACATCGACATTAATATCAAAAAATACCACGAAGGCATCCCCTGGAGATGCAAATATGGGTTCAGACGGTGAAGCGAGCTCTCCAATTGAAAATGCAGCACCAAATACAGATTTAGTGGAAGAACTTGACTTTTCGCGTCAAATTTTCCATGTACAACCGTCATCTGAAACTACTCCGGATGACAGAGGAGACCAAACGGTTCTAAATGAGGCCAATGGACTCTCTCATCATTCAGATACTGATAAAAATCAACAAGCAGTAGATACAGGATCTGGTAGACAAGAAGGTTCTAAAGATAATGTGGAAGCGAACAAAGATGGAACTAAACCTCAGCCCGCAGAAAGTACGTTTGAAGAAGCAGAATCACAGTTGGGTCGCAACAAGGAAATACCGACAGAGAGGTTGAATTCTCAACGAAGTCCTCAACAGCCAGAAGAACATAAGCCAAGGGTCTCCCACGATTCATTTAAAAACCTCAAAGAAAAGTCGCGCAATGCTTCGCGTCCCTCTACCATGGAGAGTACGAAAGCAGGCTCTGATTATGCAGGATTTGAATCTATCATGGAGTTGGAAAAACCGTCACTCGAGGAAAATACTCGGATATTACAACCCACCACATCTCGTGGGACACGAAAATCTTCGGACATTGATCCGAACAAAGCACCCCGAAATAATGCCGCCCTCAATGAACTGTTCACAGATATCATAGCATCTGCAGCTCCATCACTTCGACATCTGGCATCTCAAAGCACGCTTGGTGAATCCGTATCTAGCGCCAAGAGAAGTAGGACCTATGAGCGACCACATCGATTATCCACTCCTGTGGAAGAGCAGAGACACCCCGGAAAACCAGGATTGTGGAGTGATCAATTCATGAAGAATATAGATGAGATGGTGGATTGGGAAACCAAGGAGGTGAATGCAATATCGTTAGCCTCCACCAATAATCTGGATGCTTTCGGGACTCGCGCAAAAAACGAAAAAAACGAGAAAAACGAGGAAGCTGTTGCGCCACCAGAGCCACAGGAACTGGATGCAGAAATTGAGTATCCTGGAACTCTTGCTCTAACGATTCTCACGATCGGGCTTTGTTTGTCGGTGCTTTTGATTTCTTTGGATAGAACAATTATTACAACTGTATGCCTGACATTCCCCGTTCTGCCGTTGCACGCATTACTAACATTACTTCTAGGCAATTCCCTATATTAGTGGAGAATTTCATTCATACGCGGACGTGGGGTGGTATGGAAGTGCATACCTACTTACGGCATGCGCGTTCCAACCGATGTATGGAAGGATCTTTACTATTTTCAGTATCAAATGGTCATATCTAGGCGCAAATGCGCTATTTGAGATAGGATCATTGATTTGTGGTGTAGCTCCGAATTCTCTCACATTGATTATAGGGCGTGCAATTGCTGGAGTTGGGAGTGCGGGTATTTTGACCGGGTCTTTTGTTGTGGTCGCTCATAGTGTTCCGATACAAAGACGTCCCGTCTTCACCGCGGCTGTGGGTTTGATGTGAGTATTGTAACTCGGCTACTCGTCCCTAGACTAATTCAATTGCAGGTTCGGATTAGGAGCTACGGTGGGACCATTAATGGGAGGGGTGTTCACAGACAAAGTATCATGGAGATGGTGTTTCTATTTCAATCTTCCGGTCGGTGGTGTAACCATCTTGGCCATGATCTTGTTCTTCAATCCGAAGAATAACACGGTCACAAAACGATCGTTCGGCTCACGAGTCCTGGATCTCGACATCCTGGGAAACATTCTTTTGCTCGGTGCATGCGTTATGCTTTTCATAGCTTTCCAACATACTGAAGAGGTAAGTTCCGTTTTTGTGGTTTGGCGTCTACAACTACTAGGCATTGACTATTCATTAGGGTAGTTCTTGGTCCAGCGCAATGGTTATTGGCCTTCTCGTCGGCTTCGGGGTAACCATGATTTTGTTAGGACTGTGGTTCTGGTACAGAGGCGACAAAGCTTTGGTTCCACTTGAAATACTCCAGCAACGAACCGTACTAGCAAGCTGCCTTTTCTCGTTCTTCCTCTATTCAGCCTTGATAATTCACGGCTATTATCTCCCTCAGTGGTTTCAAGCGATCAAGAATACATCTGCCATTGCATCTGGTGTCGATATGATTCCATATATCCTCTGCAATGCTTTCTTCTCACTCGTAGCCGGTGTTCTCGTCTCCAAATCCGGATACTTCACACCACCTGCTATCATCGGTACAGCAATCGCTACGATAGGCTGTGGATTCATCGGCACATTCAGAACTGATACCACAACGGCTGAGTGGATCGGCTACGAAATTCTCAGTGCGACGGGTTTCGGAATTGCAATCCAACAAGGATTTACCGCTGTCCAAACCGTCTTGCCATTGGAGAAAATCCCTATCGGCACCGCTGCAGTGGTTGCATCGCAGTCTTTCGGTGGCGCAGTTTTTGTTTCTGTTGGAAATACAATTCTTCAGAACCAATTGAAAACCTCATATGACAGTGGACAACTACCAGGAATCGATATCCAGGCAGTTTTGGATGCTGGTGCCACTGGCTTCAGATCTGTAGTTGATGCTGATCAATTGCCTGCACTATTGGAAGTATACAATGGTGCTTTGCAGAAAGTTTTTATCGCAGCGATTCCTGTTACTGGATTGGCGTTTGTTTCTTCTCTATTTCTGGAATGGAAGAGTGTTAAAACTCAGGAGTCCACTGAACAGGTTTAAATCTTTTGACTTTGCGATCGTGTGTTTGTTTGAGGTCAATGCGGTAATATAAATATCATCTATGTACATATACTTCCAGTCTAAATTGAATTGTAATATCTTGGAGGGTACGATTAGATCATAGCAAATAATATAATTGATTATAACAGTAAGAGTGGAAGACTTTTGGTTGTTCTGGTGAGAAATAAATGGAATATATGATTGTTAAAGTAGGTATTGAAGTCAGAATAGTGTATGCCAACCGAATTAGACTAATCCGCTTCGTTTTTTTCCCGTCTTTGAAAGAAGATCCATATCTAGGTACCCCAGCCTAGGTAGGTATATTTATATCGAGTTCTTGTAGTCTCATACCTATGGATGAGACTAATTTGAATCATTACTTATGAAAACATTTCATAGAACAAGAGGGAATAATTTCAATCAGACTCTGTGAATTTAAATGTAACGTATCATATACTTCCATTCCATTCCAATTCAATAAGATAGATCATTTAACTTCTATACAATGACAGAGTTTCATCTTATGAAATCATGTTTCAAATATATTATACAGTTGTGATATCACTTATTCACTTGAAGTTAGTGAGTGATTTAGTATATTATACTTGTAATAGAGTTCAAGAAGTAAGTTAGACTGAAATATGCTTTAAATCAGTCGAGATACACCTGAGAAGACCAAGCATTTTTATGGCCAAATTTTGAAGATGCTGTTTTTGCTATTTTACAAGATACTTCATTAGTTATAAGCTAATTATTAAAAGCTCTTCGTCATACCCAAATCTCTCATAGTCCGGTTTTCAGCACTTGAAAATCGCACCTATCAGTCTTTCCCATTTGTTCCATACATCTCGTCCGCCTCTAAAGACATCGTCTAACTCCCTATCCATCATATAGTCCTCAGTGTTCATCTCCATAGCCAATTCCATCCATTTAGTTCCTGCATGTCCACTTGCGGAATTCTCACTGGAGACAATGCTGCTATTTGCGTCTCGCGAGACCAAGCCTTCAAGCTGGGGTAAAACCCCGATATTGGGGGAAGCAGAGCAAGACACGGCTGTGAATTTTGGTGTGTTCCGGCCTAGTTTAGCTTGTACTTTTCTATAGAGTAGGATGAGGACATCTTGACGAGGGTAACCATATGACTTGCGCGAGATCCGAGAAGTAGGGCTAGAGTGTATGAACTTGGGCGATCTATAAGCGGTACAACTGGCACCAAGTCTGGGGCTAGATAGTTCGGCATTAAAGACTTTGTCCACAAGAATTTTCAGTGATTCAGCATTGGAATCCAAGGAAGTGCACAAACTAAGGTGCATGAGGAGGATAAAGACAGCGTGGTGAGGCTGTATGAGACCAGGAAGAATACACTTCAATGGTGTTATGGAGGTCGTGTCGGATAGAAAAAGGTAATTTTGCAGGAACGAACTTGCAGCCCTGGATTGAACATATTAGTGATAAAGAGTAGGACTGTCGAATTTGGTGATAACAAACCGGACAATATCACTTCGCCATCCAATGTCCTGCAACTGTTTTGCTTGACAGAAGTTCAAGCCGAGAAGGCAATATGCACTATCAATCAATAACTTCAGGTACGCCCGCGGTCCCAAGTTTTCTGCTTTTGCTCCCGGTAATAATTCCAGGAGATTTTCGATGCTTTCGACGAGATGAACTACATCTCCCTGCGTTGGCATCTCCATGACCCATTCGCGCATACAACGCACCCACTGGCACTGGCCGTAAAAGGCGACCATCATCGGTGAAGTTGAATCTTGGCTAGAGGCATGATTCAACACCATGGGTAACGAAACATCGTTTTTGTATCCGTTTCTAGTTATCAGCGAAGGTGCGCCAGTCGTGATAGTCGACTGGAGATCTAAAAACAACAAATGCCACCAGATTCTCTTTTCAAGTTCAGCTTGCACACCATTACTTTGATGTGGTTTGTCGAAATGGAGTTGTAATGATTGAGCGAGTCTAATTGCGTGGGGTAAAAATCCGTACCGGAATTGTGAGGATGATGTGCTAGCTTGAAATGTGTTTACAAGAAGGTAAGCCTGCAGAAGCTGGATCGCAGATGATCCTCGGCGTGTGCAATGATATGTTGGAAGATTAACTATATCTAATAGCTGTTCGTATAGATCGTGTAATGTTGTTGATTGTGAAATATTTATGGTAGAATTGGCTGCCCCACAATATAGGACAGCTAAGATGAGTAAGGTAGATTCAACCGAGGTCTTAGGAGAAAGGTTGGCCCAGAAGCTTGTATACTCATCTATAAGAGTATCAATATGACATATGGGCACTGCAGATTGTAGTCCTATGAAGTTGTTCAAGAAATGATCACAAACTTCTCGCGCTGGAACTTTCGTCCGAAAACAGGAAACGAAATCTTCACCGAGTGCACCAAGGGGAATCGCTGTATTTTTGATGGGTTGATGGAATTGAGTATCGATATTATTCACCAGCGTCTTTGGGGGAAATCGAGATGGTGGTATTTGGGACGCTTTAGCCACCGATCGACTACTTGCTTTTGACTTGATACCGGATTTCCTTTCGGTGATTGGATTTGACATAACTGGCGATGGCGATTTCCTAGCCGGACTCCTTGATACATTTACCTCAATAAACTCAAATTCGGGTATTTCGCTGTTCAAGTATTTACAAAGTCGTCCCCCCTTCTTACATTGGGTGCAGGATGGCCTGTCGCGGCTACATTTTACCTAGAGTTGTCGAATCAGTACATTGTATAAGTATGGACCGAGAAGTAAAAACCAACTCTTCTATCGCGGCATGTTGTACAAGCCGTAGTCCTGCGATATCGTCTAATACCACCAGACTCCACACTACTTGGACTTCCAGGAGGGCTTAGCGACATCTTTGGTGAATATGATCTTGGTTGAAAGTGGACAATAGAATTTGATGATTGGGTCCAGTGGGAAGTTCGAGGCAGTTCCATTTCAAGTAGTGTTGTTCCGAAGTTTATCATATTTGAAGAAGTGTGGTTGGAATAGTCACAAACTTTAAATCGAGCAAGGTAATTAAGTTAAGAAAGGCCAGAACTATAGAGACGTGAAAAAGCAATCTCCACTAAAGGCGAGTTGGTTAATAAACGTTTTGAATGTGGTTTTCTCTCTTCAAAAAGATTCAACCTGGTCGACAGTACAAGACCAGGTAGACCCGTATCAAAATCCTGCCGATGCCCATCTTTGCTTGAGCCTCCATAATTATTCTTGGATAATAAACTCCTAGAACATGGTAGTCGACGCGGACGAACCCCAGAAATTGTATAGCCCCACTTAAGTCATGACAGTGGGAATATACTTACAATGATTGTATCAGACGGGCTCCAAATGAGTTTGAGGTAAGCTTATTAGCATCAATTTTGAGCTTAAGCTCAAGCTCAAACTCAAAAGCATAGTAATATCTTGGTATCTTGGGCCTCTGCCCTTGCGTGTGAAGTAGGAATGGATCCTGTGCTTTTCATAAGCCTCAATAGATCGTGCCTCATAACTTCTCGCACCTTCTGATCATCATATTGAAAATTAACCCCCACCTATTCAACATACAGAAATATTCCAGGCATGTTCCAGATAACACATGGCAGCATGGTAATGTGGCTATTGCGGAACAAGATTGGCAGGGGACTCAGGGAACACCTGATGGTCTGTGTTGGAACTTTCCATTCTTCTCTTCAAAGGATTCGGACATGATTTCGCATATTGCTGGCGCTTAAGACGACGGATACAAATGGCTGCGAACAAGGCAGATTGTATCTTGCGTTTATTTTGTGTTCATCCAACTACCCAGTGGGAAACTTGAACACTCAAAGATGTTACTTCGACCCTTTGAACGCATGGAAAAGGTCTATCTGGATGGGGGATCGCGCGTTATGTTGGAATTAGGACGCCGAAGCGCTTCAATTTTGTGTAATATTTGCGGGTGATGATCTCTATAACCACACCATTGCTTATACAGAGTCGACAGTACTCAAATAGCGCGACTGCATTGCGATCGTGGTCTTCATAGGATCTACGGATTCATGCGTGCGCGATATGGTGGCGTTAGAGAATATTTTGTGTGTTCAGGTTCCCTTTGGATTGGGTAGTTGAGTGTCTGAAATTATGATATTCGGTAGAACTTCGGTTATTAGGAATAGTCTGGTATGGCGCGTCATACCAAGGTAGGTAATGAAAGACACGTCGATTGTACCTTCCAAAAATGGTCAATATCATCATCTTAGGAATTTACGTGAAGTTGTCATTTCTCACAGCCTTGCACAAGAGAAATGAGCTCTTTGTTTTTCGGGTGTCCAATCAAGTCTTGAACATATATTAATTTTACGCGGATATTATCACATGATTAGGCACTTTGGCGGAGTGGTTAACGCGATGCCCTGCTACTGAGTGATTCAGAGTCAGGCATTTCCTTCGGGAGCGAGTGTTCGAATCACTCAGGTGTCGTTTTGGAGATTTAATCTATTGTATCCCCTTTTTTTCTTTTTTTTCACATTTTCTCTCCTACTACACTCTTTTCCTCTCTTAACAAAATCTAAAATCTCGAATGTTACTCCTTTTATCTGAGGCATCAAATCATGATAAGTGGGATATCCAAATAAAGTGCTTCCGATCTGCACATGGATCAAAAGGACCTGAGTTTGTGAATTGGAAATGAACAGCAGGATGGCATGTCAGCACTAGACACTTTTGCTACGGGTAACTTCCCCGGTGAAATACTCCATATGCGGAATTCTATTTTCACGTCCATTCCACATGGCCTTACAAGATGTTTTCTAAAACCGTCATCTCTAGAAGAGTGGGATATGTACCAAAAGATCTCAAGCAATTCTCAACGAATAAAAGCTTACAGATAAAGACAAGTCATACACTACGTCCGTATAGCTGCTCACCATGTATGCCACAGACGGTGTGGCCATGGCATCCTGCAAACGGTTCTCAACTCATCCTCTTTCAGGCGGGCCTTGCGAAATGATGAGATACACGCGTCGACCTTTCTTGGAGATCAGACGCGTGATCTATCTTTTTTCTTATCTTCGTTCCGCGGATCAAATCCAACATTTCTTCAACCACATCCACTTCGAAAATGTTACGCGAGTTCCTTTGGGACTGCTCGTGCGAGATCTTGTGCATTGGCGCATGGGGCTTTAAGATCATCACTTTCTCAAGCCTGGCGCCTATTTTCCACTCTTCATATTAATTTATGCAGCTCCTTCGGGCTCCATACAAGGCAGACAACATTTCTTTCTTTCTTTTCTTTCAATGCTTTCTACATGCTAGTAATTTAAGGTCGAGGCTGCAAGCGACGCCAGACATTTGATCCCCGACTAAGTTTGCAATGTTGCATTCATATGGTAAGATTATATTTAAATCCAGTTTGCAACGAAGTTTATTGAATACTTTTAATCTCATCTAAAGCGTGGGGGTCTACTAAATAACATAGAACCAAAAAAAAATCGTCTAGAGACTGCAATCTGCACTGGCAGGAAATCCGGCGTCTTCTCTCCTGTATCTCATCAAGGGGTCGCCCAAAAGGATTGCGTTAAGACTTCGAGGTCTTGATCGACATGTTTCCAAGGCGATGTACATGTTCATCGTGGCAGGACAGCTCCCAACACGATTTCGCATTCGACAAATACGCGACTTTGATATGTGGAGTACTGCAATTCGATCCTGAATTCTGGCCCCCACTCCAAGAAAGAAACCCCGGATCGGTCTAGAATGGATAAAGATGTCTTATCTTCCAGGATGAAGTGCTTGAAATTGCAATTCATCCTTACTCTTGCATTCTTGTGTCTTGTGGAGGGATCAGCCATGAAGTCAAGTGACCGGTGATCATTTCACCTTTTTTTCCCTAGTGGACGCAGCAAAAGCATTACAGCTAAAAAACAGTTGTTGATAGCATTACTGTGACTCCGAAATCCCTAGATGAGACTAGCAGGAGAGCATAAGTCTATGGAAGATCAATTCAACATAACACATACAGCTTAATGAAATGATCCATATGTTCTTGGGTATGAACTGGATAGATCGTATCTGTTTTTTCAAATAGGGGTATCTGTTCAATGTGTGGGGTGCCTGAAATCGCATCTTCTGCATTCTGCTAGTTTTTAGTGAAGGAAGATGCATTCATTAATAACACCCGAGAAGCAAATTAGCTCTGGGTCATCCACTGAAGTGGCAGACATTCCGGTCTGATATGGCCACATTAGGCTTTCATATCGTTGACAAGTTCTCTGTTTAGGTTTATGCGATTGAAGAGTTAGTCAGTGTGAACAATACTATGAATAGTAATACTGGGCGCGATAATGTTTTATCATCTTCAAGGATAAGATGCAATAGACATGGAGCCAGATGAAAGGTGATGGTCGATTATGTGCATCGCTTACAGCATGGAGTCGGTAGATGGCTAATGACTTTTATAGGTTGGGATTGGGGTTTTTTTATAAAGCTGCTCAAGCGTAAATTACGTGCCGCAAGAGAATTACTTCGAGATTGTTGTGTCTGTATCATACTCTTTCTTTTGGTTTTGTTCCTGCCGGGGTGCAAAAGAATACTTGGTACCAGTCATTGCTCACCATTACACATTCGAATATTCCAATAACTTTCCTTTCTCTGAGAGTCATAGGATTATTGACGCCGTTATAAGATGAATAATGTACTGTGTATGGACAGATAATGTTGAGATGGTACTCAATCACGAGTTTGAATCCTTGTCTGAAGTCACTTGTCCTTTTGATTTGCGGCGTGTCCAATTTGTTATACAGTGTAAGTATAAAATTCGCGATAATCCAATAATATGGTGGACTAATGGACCGTTGAGAGTTTTGTGTTGCATTTCGACGCATGTGACAAAATGTAACCACACCTTCCATTTCTGAAGATTTTTGCAACAAGGACAAGTGCGGGGTAATCAATTTGACCTCGCTCTCACTTTGTCAGCATTCAACTTCATTCTATCTATTCAATCGACATAATTGTCCGAATCTAATTGATTTCATCAAGCTGTCTGACTGTTCGAAAGACAGTTATATAATGGAGAGTAGTAAAATGTCGGGGATTCCTGTGGATCGTAAAACACAGAAATTGCATAGAATATTCTTGCTCGGAGCGACGACATGTGTAGTGGGTTATAAGATCTTGAGGGGTCTCTCAATACTCATGAAAGAGGCTAATCTTGACGGGTTCGGACCACACGCTTCGTTGTGGTTGTTGTTGCTGGTGCTCCATTGGTTCGTCTTCTATCGCCTGTATTTTCATCCTTTGGCGGCATATCCTGGTCCGATTTTGGCTTCCTTTACCGACTGGTACAATGTTCATCATTGTCTTAAGGGCGACCGTCATTTGAATGAATATCGACTCCATCAAATCTATGGTAAGCAATATACTACTTTCAATAATACGGACCGGGCTACTACAATAAGGTTATTGTCTGAATCATTTTCAGATCTTGAGAACTCGCATCTAGTCCGCTAATCCGTACTGCTGGACACTCTGAAACTAACCATTAACGATATTTCCAGGACCGATTGTACGAATTGGGCCGAATCGATTATCTTTCGATAGTACCACCGCTCTTCAAGATATATATAGCTCTGTCTCCAACACGCAGAAGTCCGACTTTTATACAATATATCACTATTTTTTCAAAGTTCCATCTATCCTCACCACTATCGACAAAAAGATTCACGCACTAAAGAGACGTATTCTGGTTAAAGCTCTGAATCCGCAGGCGGTGCAAGAGCTACAGAATTTGGCCTATCAAAACACTCAACGCTTCTCCGAATATCTTCGAGAAGGCAAAGATGGGCTGGTGTCAGCGGGCGAATGGACGCACGCTCACGATATTTCAAAAGCTTTGACATACCTACAAGCAGACATTATGGGTGATGTAACTTTCAGTCGTAATTGGGGTATGTTAAATGACGAGGAAAATCGTCATATGGTTGGCCTCATGTCTGATTCGGCTCTTGCTATGAACACGGTAAAATAACCCTTCGGCTACCGAAACCAGACAGATACTAATAATTTGGCGAACAACAGCTAGGGCATATGCGTACAATTGAGAAACTCGGTCTATTCAAATTGATCCCACCATCTTTCATGCATGGTGCCAAGAAGCTTTTCGCTCTCAGCAAATCTCAGACAGATTGGCGGATAAATCACAGAGATGATTTAGCTAACAAAGATATTTTCTCTGCCCTTCTTGCTACACAGGATCAAGAAGGTGGACAGACCTATACTCAAGAACAATTGATTTCTGAAGCCGGTGTCTTGATAATAGCCGGCATGGATACCACTGCAACAGGGCTAACGGCAACCATCTTTTATCTTCTTCACTACCCACTCGTCTATGAACGATTGGAAAGGGAAATTAGAGAGACATGGGCTAAGGTAAGTGAAATCAAAGTTGGGGGAAAGCTGAACGACTACAAATATCTTACGGCATGTATTGACGAGGCCATGCGACTTTCACCCGGTGTTGGGGCCAATATACCAAGGGAGGTAGTGAAAGGCGGAGCTGTCATCGATGGTTGCGCCATTCCAGCTGGAGTTACAGTTGGGGTCTCCGCCTACAGTATTCATCACGAGGAAAGGTATTTCGAAGATCCGTTCGTTTATAGGCCTGAGCGTTGGCTTGATGGAGAGGGTGAAAATGAGTCATCAAAAGGAAATGCCCGAGACTCCAAAGTCTTTGAACCGAAAGCATTCACCCCATTTGGCACTGGGAGAACAAGCTGCATAGGTAAATATCTAGCGTATCAGGAGATGGGAGTGGTATTGGCACGATTGATCTGGGAATTTGATATGAGATTGAGTGTTCAGGAGGGAGTAGGACTTGGGGAGGGTAAGAAGGGAATGGGCTGGGGCAGGGAGAGGAAGCAAGAGTTCCAGACTTGGGACAGATTTGTGAGTTGGCATGAAGGTCCAATGGTGGAGTTTAGATTGCGAAGCGGCGATGAGAGTAACAGGGATGGTTTGTGAAGTGTTAGGCCCATCAGGTAGTCTTGATTGAGAATGGTGTAATCATCTCAACTGTTGGGACAGCGGAGCACTAGGGAAGCGGCCGAGTGATTTTATTGTCTCTTTTTTTCGCGTTTGATTCGTATCTGCAGGTCAAACCTTCAGAGTAGATCAAACTTAAACTTCTCGCCAGGCTTTATTACGTAGGAATTCTACGATATAGCACGAAAACTTCTTCAGCTCCATATTGACATCAATGTTTAATTTTCCTAGTGTACGGGCCAATCCCAATATTCTGCAAGTAAATCATACAGTTTAAATGATTCTAGACTTTGGAAATGGGCCTGAGGAGAAGTGCTTGGATACCCATAATTATTCGAATGAAGATCTGTTGTCTGATCAGGGATTATTGCACCCATGTGATATAGTTGATGATCTTCCACGTGACGCGATCTTACAACGTCGCTCTTTCTTTATTTTATCTTATAAGTCAAATCATCAATTATGAAGAAAAGTTCCTAAAGAGCACATTGAATGGCGATTAATAGTACAATATAAAAGAAGCCTCTGTTTTGTTCTGATCACGAGACTCGCTGGATAGATGGAACAACGCGTTGTCAAAGCGGCACCTGAACTGATCAACACGCGCATCAAACTTTAATAATACTAGACATGCTAAAAAAAACCACAACTTTCCGAAAAGCCAGACGGATATTCAATAACTCTTAAGCCGAATCATACCTCTCTTATCATCTATCATATCGTACTGGATCGAGTAAAGGGGCAATCTCGTCTGAGGTCTCGAATGATGGACTGGAAACCCATTGTGAAATTTGGGGAGGCTAAATTATATGGCGATTTTGGTCATATTAGAGTACACAGCACAGCTCACGTATGACAAGCCCCGCCACTTGTCGTACGTATACTACTTAATTTCCAAAGGCCGTCTGAATATTTTGTATGTTCAATTGCCATTATTATCATGAAGACGTGGTACAATCGACTTAGTTAACGGAGGCGGCAGCTTGTCGTTCCTATCTCACAAGTAGGAATAGTGTACTGGATCTATGCCATAAGTAGGCTGTTCAGCCCAAGTTTCGTCCCCTTCATGTGAATATTCGGAGTGGCGTGCGATATTTCCTAGTCTAAACTACATATCAAAATTGTCAGACTGCCGCTGTCAGCTCGTGGGAAGTGTCCCAACTCCGAGCCCCGGTACACATTGTATTGATGATTGTGTGCTTTCGAAAATTCTGTGGCATCGAATGAATTCCTCAGAATGATAAAAAGGAGAAAATTCGAACCTTGATGCGAGCAAGAAAGAAGCTGGATGTGAAGACGCTCCATGCTACATTACTCGATATTTCTAGTAAAATATTGGGAAGTTTGGCCAATGACAAGACTTGCGGACACATGAACAACTGAGAACAGCGTTTCTCTGGAAATAATGAGAAGAACTCTCGTGAGCTATTTCTTCGGCAAGGACACGAGCCTTGAGGAAATATTGAGGAACTTGGTATCGATCTCTGTCACCTTGATGATCCAATTTCCGACATAAATGACATGTGGTATCAGTCAATAATATTCCCTGCAGCGTGTATTCTGAGTCGCTTTCCTTGAGAACAAATGGTCAATCGCCTACTTTCCCGGGTGACTCAAAAGCTAGGTTAAGTTGCGAGTTTTTCCCCGGACTTCTAACTTATCGTATCAAAGGCATAGGTTTATGTGTTCCCCAAACGTGCCTAAACTTGACTGGAAAGCAAATCGTACCACGTTTCAATCTACCATATCAACAAAAGTGAGACGATTTGCACATGCCATACTTCCCTTTGTAAAACGAAAATTTTAAGAGGCAGCACAACTCTCACGATTATCTCGTTATCTTGTTAATCACTAAAGGAAAATGGAAAGCCCACAGTTAAAACAGCCGGGCTAGGTGGCAATCAGATGTTTGATACAATCCGGAGGAATATTTCCTTCTTCGGATGTGTGGTAGAAGCAAGTTGCTGTACTAATATGGATCTCAGCGCTTGTATGTTGGATGTTCCCATACTAGCTATATTCTAGCTCAAAACATCTATTCTAGACTTGCCTCCCACTCAACAAACCCAAGGGCTTTGGTGTTCACTCACTAAGCCAGACCTAGATAGCTTATCCAAGAGTCCGTAAGAGCTCTATAGTTTGAGCCCTTCTTGTGCGCTGATCTTCAAAGTCTGGGGAACCAAGGGCAGAATCCTCAAAGATTGCGGGAAAACTTAGTACATGTCAAAATATGTACATAATGCCCGACTTCCCACGTTCGCGAAATGTTTCTATATCGTCTCATTGTCTTTCCTACGTCAATGAACTGTCATTAGCTTCTACTTTATCAGTTATTGTCTGTGATTTTGAACTACATGCAAAATGGCGACGGAGAAAGCCCAGGCAAACTCAAGTGGTGTCCCACAGGAAAAGGATTTCTCGCATAATAACAATCATCACGGAGATAGCAGAAATTTATATGAGATGAATGACATGTCAATTGGTTCGGAAGATGCATTAAAAAGAATCAAGACTGCTGGTAGCATCAGTATCAGTCCGGAATTGTTTGAAAAGATATATCTCTCTCCCCAAAACGCAGTGAAAGGTGATCTGAGAAAAACTTTTGGAAACCCTACTCCGGTGTAGGTTCATGTCTTACAGTCTTGAGATCTCTCCATGCTAACTGAGCATGTAGAGCAATAGTTGGGTTTCTAATTACCTTATCACCATTATCGTGTGATCTTATGGGCTGGCGTGGGGCGGGTAACAATGGTGCAGCTGGAATGTACGTGTTTCAATTCTCATTCAATGTTTCTCAATATTCACTAACAAGTCTTTAGTGGTTCCTATTTCTTCTTTGGTGGACTCCTCATGATTGTCGGCGGTTTTCTCGAATTCGTTCTAGGTAACACTTTCCCATTTGTGGTATTCATCTCTTTCGGTGCTTTCTGGCTTACGTTCGCCTCCACACTTCAACCCTTCTACTACGCCTATGGGCTCTACGCTCCTCCCGGCGGTACTCCTGTCGACGGCCTGAAAACAGTTGGATTCAACGCCTCTTTCGGATTCTTTCTTATTTTTATGGCGGTCCTGTGTCTCATATACCTGGTGTGTTCTCTGCGCACAAATGTCGTCTTTGTTATTATATTTTTTACATTGGTTGTTGCCTTTTCACTTTTGACCTCCGTGTATTGGCACACGGCAAACGGTATTGGCAATAAAGATGCGACTCAACTGGCGTTGGCAAATCGATTGCAGATTGCGGCTGGTGCGACTCTTTTCGTAACATCACTGGCCGGTTGGTGGATCTTTTTTGCTATCATGCTGGCGGCTCTAGACTTTCCGTTCCAAATCCCAGTGGGCGATCTGAGCACTTTGATCAAGGGAGCCAGTGAGCGAGAAAAGTCAAAGGAACAAATGGCATAGAATAGTCTCAATACCATGTCTACACACATCAATGAGACCTGCCATGCAAAGGGAACAACGACAGCTGATGAAAAGCTTAGGGAGAAGAAAGGCTATATGGAAATTTGTGGCTCTAGGTTAACTTTTGTCGATACCAGGATCATGTTCTCAACACATTCACGATCCAAGTTTTTTTTGTTATTGATATGCAATAGAAAGTTTATATGCAAGCTAAGGACTAGGCCATGTATACTTAATTTTTATATGTTTTTTGCTTCAAGTTCTGTATGTTATCTAGCAGTTCAAGGATCTTTCCACGAATAAATGTAATACAGTGCACAATACAACCTACAAGACGTATTTTGGAAACACGTATATAAATATTCTGTGTGCCTGCAAAACCCCCCGGTTTTTTCTCCTAACGAAATGAAAGATTTGGGGATCAACACACCCACATTATATCCCGCAATTCCCAAGTGTCAGCGGTATTTGACAGTACCAATCCCAATCTCCGACGCACGACTTCACTTATGCATAAAACGACCTATTCTCTCGGCCTTCTTCACTCTTATCTATTCTCGAACCACAAGCATCGGAAATTTTGAAGCAAGTGGCGACGTGAAAATTCTCCTATCGGCGCGATTTTGGTGTAATGTACTACAGCCGTAGCTGTGTACGCTTGAGACACGTGATATTTTAGTCGTACTGAGGTGGTTTCAGTTCTGGGAAATTATGTGCGAGGGGGTGGTTGATGGGACTTTGAGATGCGGATGTTTTGTGATGGATTTGGAGGGGTTCTGGTACGTTTAATGTAGATTGGATTGGAATAACTGTTGGTGTAGAGGGGTGGGATTAGTATGGGTGCTATGGTACGAGTTGTACTTTTTTGGAATGGTGAAAGGAGCATTCTCTTTCAGCTTATTATATACGTCTACCACAAGCTGAGGGAGTATAATAATGTTTAGTTATCAATTTTTTGTGTCAGACAGATATGAAAAGATTGGGAGTAAGTTTCTTCTCAATCAGGCACCGCATCACCTCTTCGAGTGAAGATTCTGGAGATTAGTTTCGCAAGTCAAGCATTGTTTTCTCTCTTTTTTTAAAAAGTCTCGCATTTGCTATTCCATCATTTCAGTGGATGAGTGCCAGCATTCATCATAAACCAAAAATTGTTCCCTCTCCCATTTCGCTACAGAAACCGCCCAACCCAGTTATTCACTCTTCTCCTTGTCGAATGATCGACAGGATCAGTTCAACAGGTCACTTTAATCCACCCCCTAACATGGAAAGTCACAGATCCACATGTCTGTGCCTTGTCCGCAATGATTCTGCCCACCTTCTTTATTCTTGCCATATGTGAAGAGAGGCATGAGAAAAACGGCAGCCTGCCCAGTAATAGTTATGGTTTCGGGTAAAGAAGATTTGATTTCGATTGGGCCTTTCGCTTCGGCTTGTGTCATTTTTGATTCAATGACTTTACAATCTTTTCCGGAGAGTATGAGATCTTTGGGCATTGCCATAGTGCCGGGTTTGAGGCCGGGTGAGCCTGCCGACCATTTCATGTACAAGGTACATTTATTGCCACCGAGGCATTTATCGTTTCCTTTAATGCCATTGACAATGGATATGAGGATGGTGAAGATGGCGAAAAAGGTTGTGGTGAAGAGTTGCATGATTTTCGTGTTAAAAATGAGGTTTTGAGGGATGTAATCTAAGTAGCTAGTTAACAACTCCATCTTCTTTATTTTAGGTCTTACTTACCGAAGGTTGTATCGTTCAATGATATGTGCAGTGATGTTCGAAATTCAGCTTGTAGAATTGTTGAAGATTCGAGATGTATGAGTTTTGTGGTTGCAAGATTTTGAATTGGTCGAGTTGGATATCAATCAGGTTTTGTTCAAGAGGCGGATCAAGTATGACTATATAATTGCAACGAGTATGACGAATTTCCTATTTCGAAATGCAGCGATTCTTTGAATTGTGAGTCCGAATGATTGACTGGATGCGATCCCTTGTTCTGACTCAATGGCAGTTCCATCGGCACCGCTCCAGAGTTGAGGGTCAAAACTAGCTCTATTGAATCGTAAAGGCACAGGATATTATCATCATTGGCTGTCAATTTCTAGTCTTGTTCTTATTACATATATCATATCTGACCTGAAACAAAATATCTTAGGAAACTGTTGCAACAGTTCTCAACTCATCGCCCATCGATAATGATAATTCAAAGCCCAGTATGAGTATTTCTGGTTAACACCGATGACTGTACTTAATTGTGATGAGTAACTACTATAGTTTACTCATAATAAGTGTCATACAGTGAAATCTACAGTCAAAGACCCTTGCCAATAGTTGTTCGGTTAGAGCGAGGCATCAATAACAAAAAGGGTTCCAAATCCCCAGCTTGACCACTTCAAAACGCAGAACAAACACAAAACATCTCATACATTCCAACATCTTAAAGAAAATAACAACCAACTTTCGAAATATCTTCAAAGAAACAAGGCTTGGTAAGTAAAGCCTGTCAAACAATAAAGTGTAGTTACTGAAGACATACAGACTCCCCCAAAAGAAATAAACCTCTACATCAAATACTGAAATCATGCATTTCCTCGCGACTACACTTCTTACCGTCTCCCTCCTCGCCTCTCTCGTAGCAAGCGGACCCGTCAATCAACTTGATCCACGAGCTAAAGCTGTCAACTGCACGGCTCCAGTGAATTGCTGGAGCTTATACATGCGCTGGGATATGGATCCTAAAGCCGAAAATTTCGCGAAGACCCTTATGAGGCAACCCAAGGATCTCGAGATTGTCGACAAAGACTGCAATATTGTTAAAACTTCTATGAAACAACCCGACCCCAACGGAGCAATCACTGTTAAAATGGAGGGAAAAAATCCTAGTGATTTGATCATTACTGGGAGTGATAAACGTTTTAGACCCGTATTCACGTATAATAATGGAGAATATGGTAGGGAGCATTGCGGATGGAAAACTGGACCTGATTGGTCTTCATACAATTGTTTATTTCTCTTTGACGACTGACCGGGGATGGACTTTTCTCAGTGTTTCAACATCCCCAAGAGATACTGAGAGAGCTGGATTGGATTGGTGGTAATATGGAATGGTTGTAGATATGATGGGCATAGTATCTGCTGGACAGATAGAATAACAAATACGTGACTTTGAAAAACATCAAATATCGCGGATCAGAAATGGTGACTGTCTCCCATGTAGTGACTGATCATTGCTCAAGGGGAGTGATTTAGATGGATGAGCATGATAAAGAAATGACTCCCCTCTCTACCAATAGACTCATTTAGTGAATCATGACTGTGGTGAGGTTATAAAAGCAGTCATATTGATGACTCGAGCCCTTTGATACACTATGTATGACACTTAGCTTGACCATCTCAATTTGGGGCTAAGCTCACTATTCTCGAGACCTTTCTTCGAAAAACATCAATACTATTGTGCCACAAAGTTTTCGACAGATCACGGAACTCTACGTATCGTAGCGTATGAAATCGGAACACAAAGACAACTCCCAGATTCACATCATCATGCATTTCCCCATCATGACACTTTTCGCAATCATCCTCTTCTTTTGCCAAGCCAAAGGCGTACGACCTCCAGATATAAGTCCCCTCTGCAACAGTAACGGATGCACCTGCAGTCTAGCAATGATGTGGCAAAACACCTCGAAAGGACTCCCACATCCACCGGTCCGCGCCAGAGTATTCAACAAAAATTGCACCTTCATTTCAAAACCCAACATCACACAACCCAGCGTGGGGAAGTATCCCATTAATCTCACGTCGCCAAAGCTACTTTCCAATTTCTCGATATTCGGAGAAGATGCAAACAAGCATCCGGAGTTCACATATGGAGTGAATACTGAGGGTGGTGAGCATTGCGGGTTTCAAACTATGAAATACGACAGAATTTATTACAATGTACATAGTTGTACCTTTGCGTGCGAGGGACCGAAAGCGAAATGGTGGATTGCTCCATCTGACGCAAACCGCACTAAGGCTACATGATCGGAGTGACAGCAATATGAAACGTTAGGTATTAATGGAGAGCTTTGTGGTGGATGCGTTGGACGGTACCAGAGAGAAGAATTGCCTGGAAATATATGAACTGTAAACATAACAATAACTTGAAATCTAGCGAATTGTTTTCCCCGTCGAGTAGAAAGATTAAAACCGTGAAGCCAGAGTTTGTGAGTGCAATCATACTAAATCAAAAACAATATCGAAATTACGCAAGACGACTCATGGAATTTTACACGAACAGTCATAAGCGCCTCCTATGACTGGCAGTCACTGACATGACTCAAAGTTCTTGCAAGACTTGCGTCCACGAATCATTTCAATCAAGTGAATCACTACTAAGGATAATTAAAAGAGACTGATAATATCATTTAATAACCTCTCATCATAAATATCTTCGATACTTCCTTCTATCAACTACTTCGCAGAAACCTTTTCCAAAATTCAACAATCACCTAAATTCGAACAACATAATTTTCACACGCAGTTCCATACTTCTCAACATTGACTACCAATACAACATTCAAATCAACAAATATGAAGTACCTCGCTTTCGCATTTATCGTAGCCATCTCAGCATTAGTCTCTTATGCCGACCCACTTCCCGATCTTCTGAGAATAGTCGGTTCTCACACCGGTTTTAAGTCAGCACCAACAAGTACACCAACACCACAACTCTGCGCCCAAAAGCAACTAGCTTTCGGCGACAAGACCTGCACTTACGTCTATCAGTTTAGCAGTGACGATAACGGAGACAATGCCAGTGCCAGATCCTTCATCATCGACACCAATTGTGTCATACTGCAATCGGGCGAAGCTCCAATTCAAGCGTCCACTTCAAATTGGAGTTATCAGTTTAGAACATGCAATATTGTCAAACTGAATGAAGTCATCAAGCAAAAGTGGGAACCTACAAATGCAGAGTATCTCATGCCTCTCTATCAGAGTGATGGGCAGGTATCAAAAGGCCGCCAGCGTGGTCCATCAGAGAATGGCCACGGCAATAAGAGAGAGGATTGTACTTTGAAGTATAACGATCTCCCCGATAAAGGAGCAAGGTATGCATGGATTTGTCCATTTGAATGCCCCTGTTGAAGCGGAACGGGGATGGATTAAGGGGAGGTCGCATGGAGTTATTGGGAGAATATGTTTGTCAGATCTAGGGCTTGTGCAAAGCATGCAAGAGATATAATGGAAATTCAGATCGTTGCCTTACAATAATGTGCCACCTGTGCTAACTAACCTGGATTCTTTAAAATAGAATTCACAAAGAAATTCTTTGGGTAAGATTGAGCACAACTAATTGTTCAACCTTGCAGTTTCCGTTTCTTTGATCTGTGTGACGGCCCTTGAGGCATTCCTGATTTCTTCTTGTAATGACTGGGCTAAAAATAGTTGTTAAGATTTCTTCATCAACCACTTCCTTTATGATGGAAGTCTTTGTGTAGTAAGAACAACAGTAAGAAGTTTTCATATAAGAATCAGTATGGTCCGCGTGCATAAGTTTGGATTTCTTTCTTCATACAAAACAAAAGAACAATTCTCAAACAATCAAATCGAACCCCAAAGAAGAAAATCAATCAAAGAATAGCTATGAAGCTTTCAACATACCTCCCAATTTTAGCGGGAACCCTTGCCGTCGCCCTTCCAACAGAGGCTCTCACGAAGCGCGACAACAAATTCTGTGTTACTCAAGGCCCGGGTACATGTACCTTCGGGTGGCAAGAATATACAAATTTCAATGGAGACTTTTCCTCTGAGGCCAGAATCTACGATCACAAATGCATTCAAAAAGGAGGTCTTATAAGCCCTAATATTGACTAATTTGTGACAGTTACATCTGCTAACCCTCCCATGACCGTTTCGATAAACGGCTGGGCTCAACCTCCGCAATTATTTACCCAAGCAATTCCAAAGTTCAATTATAAAGGTAAGACCTGGGGTGGAAAAGACGGATGTGCCTGCGGAACAGGAGAAGGAACCAATTTCTGGGGATGTAGATGTGCGTTCGATTGCCCTTAGATTAGCATCGGGTGAAGAATTATTGCATAGGTACAGATACAACTTGGCTATCTGATATTCATTAACAGGAGGAAAAATAATTAGAAAAATACTCTTTCGTAAACAAAATAAAAGAAAATGAATGTTTTTATCTGACACAGAAACCCCCGCATCACGTGTAATACATGTAAGCTATTGATATATTCGTAGAATCAAACAAGACCGAATTTTACTTCATGTTATAAAATTGCACATCTATACAATATGTTATTTGCAGATTTGCAGACTCATGAATCTCCATCTGCTTGGTTATAAGTAATACGCTGGCTCTGGGAAGTGTTGAAGGCGCTGCCAGAAACATCGGATGACAAATACGATGGAATATAAGGAACTTATAAGATAGACATAACAAGATTGGATCAAAATGGAGATACGGGGATATTATATTGCGTATACCCGCATCGCCCTTAGTACGAGGTGTACTTTCCCGTTTGGTCTCACGATCAAGACTTATCCAAACTCGAGTATACAAACTCCTCAAACTCAGACAGGATATCGATAGCCTTCTCATCTCTGGTAGGTAAAAGCTGAGAAAGATATACGCCGGCGACAGCATTGTTAAGGTCGATTCACTATAAAAAAACAGTAAGCTGGAGTTCACATTCACCAGGAAAAGAACCTACACAGTAGCAATTCGCATGACCCGACCAGGTAAGCGAATCTACTCTACGTCGTTTCGGCACTGCATCTGTATTTATCAAACTCCAATCCTAAAGTTAAGAGGGACGTCATCTGGAACGGTATTCCAGATAGCATTTCGGGTGGACGACGAGTACTCCTCTGGTTTATCGAGGCCCCTGATATTCTCCAGATGAGGCTGGAACATCTCCTTAGCAGTCTCGGGTCGTAGTAGCTTCGCTATCAGCACGCTCTGGTAGATCTTGAGCAGATCCTCCACAGTTGCAAATGAACCGCCTCCTCCAAAATTGTCCAAGGTATTCTCCGCGTAAACAGGCTTCAGCTGCTCTTTCAGGCTTTGGCTGTCTCGCTCCCAGTTTCTGGCCTTTCGAGCTTGCAGATCTTCTCGCAGTTCGGGATGGAAGGTGGCATCCTCAACATAACCGAGGTCAAAGATATAGCGTTACATAAACCCGCCAAGCTTCATGGAGGTGGCTCGCTCGATTTTTACAGTTCGCGATGCGAATTAGTTAAAGCCTGCCATATTAGATACTTCCAAACTTACAACGAGGCCTGCCCAGTCAAGGCCAAGGGAGTACACCCATCGCTCACCGGGTCCGAACACAAGAAATTGGCGGGGAAATTTCTCTACCTACAACCTTCCATAAGATATCATAATGTCGATTGGAGGGAGTCAGCTCACGATAGATCGATTGGCTAAAGTTGGTGTTTCTTCAACTCTTGGTAGCGAATCAGAAGCGGATCCATGAACACATAAGCAATGCCGCTGGAGTGAGTCAACAGGTGCCTAGCTAACATCTTATGCCAGTAAAATTTGCCAGCCTTAGTCAAACAGGAGCATCACTTGCCGAAGGGTGACAGGCTTTGTGGAGGGCTTGAAGATAGCTTCATTCTTTTCATTGAAGCCCGTCAAGATCTGCGGATCCTTGGACTCTGGTAACACTTTTGCTATATCACCATCTAAGTCTAACTGTCCCTTCTCGACGCACTGCATTACAGCAATAGTAGTGATGAAATTGGTGACAGAGGCGAGCCAATACACAGAATTGGTGCCGTGAGGTTTGTCAACTTCATCTCCAAAAGCCTTAGCATAATGGAAGGAGCCTAGGTCACGTAGGATTAGCAAGAGCAGACACAGAAAGAACAAAAGGATATTGCTGTAAACACACCATCCCTGTTGATGGCCCCGAATGTAAACTTTGGATGGGGCTAGCTATCTTGCTCAGACCGCTGCCGAAGAGAGTGGACGCGTTTATTGAAAGAGGCCATTGTGGCAAGACTGATTCTCGGCTTTATGAAGAACTGGATCGTTTTGTGCTGTGCCATCAATATGTTCTATAGATTGTTGTCCCACGTTATGTATGTCGTGGAACGACTTCTTCCGCAAGTTCTCAGTCTCATTAGATGAAATGTGCCTCGATGATGGAAACACTTATGAGTCATAGAAGCCCTTGAGAGTGGCTTCAAATAGTTCAAGGTTCGGCAGAAAGACGGTGAAACAAAGTTTGGCTCTGTAGACACACTACGAAGGACGCCTCTGTTGATTTTGCTTTGTCAAGATGCTATCGGTAAGATTACCCTCTCCTTTAACAAGCTCATTAAGAAATCTGAGGGCAAAAAGATGTAAGGCTATCTTCGTGTTATCCTTTCTTGTCTTACCGCATTGTGAACTATTTTCATTTGAACTAACTTTAGGGGTAGCTAGCTCAATGTCAGCATGACCCTAATCCGGGAAGAGAAAGCTTTGTGATCAAGAAAAACACGAGAAGTTCGCGGTATCATGTGCCAGACTACATACTTTCAGTGTTATATCTGGACTTTGCCAAGACGGTTAAGTATTCAGCTCTTCCCTTCCCCATAATTCCCCTTTATGCCAAGTCGCCAAATTGCCGGCGCATGTTTCAAAGCAGTATCTAGTCAGTCGGTTCAACACGAAGTTCCTAGTGCCTGGGGGGTCAACCAAGGAACGACCCGCGAGTTCATGTGACAGAGATTTTATCGGTCTACATCTCGTACCACACACACATTCTTGTTGACAGGAGGAGAGGACCAAATAAAAACCAGTAGGCAGCCTCACAGACAGATTATACAGTAAAAATAGGCCTGCTCCAGGAGCGATATCAGCTGACATAGACAGTTACGAATGGGAAACGAATCTTTCTGATGTGACGTTAGTAGGCTTTGTTTGCGATCTTTGGTCTACATTTATAAGTCGGTTTTCCTAGTATTGATATAGAATCAATCCTACCTACTTCCGCCCGTTCCTGATCGACTAGTCTTACATGCGAGTGGTCTTTGGGGAGGGGGAAAGGGGGGTGACACTGCAGTAAAGTCTCTTAATAAGGATATGCTATAATCCTTATAATTTCTGGTCCCAAAATCAGGTGTATCCTTATTGGACCAGTGAAATTGACAGGACTCGGCTATCACATCATAGATTTATTAGCATTCGAGTTAAAGTAGAAAATATTGTAACTAATCGAATGATCACTGCCGAGTAAATATGACTGGTAGTCGTATAACTATGGAGTAACAGAGGTGATAAGTTCTTAGTGACTACCTAGTTACTAAGATACTCATTATTATTGGGGATTAATAAAGACTACTAGTGGACGTACTGAGGCCGATTTGAATTATTTGATATAAACTCCAAAAATAAATTTCTGCCTAATGAAAAAAGAAATTTTAGAATCTGTATAATGTATTTATAGAAATCTTATAGAGAAAGGTAGAATTCAACCTTATTAAAGATTTTTTATTAAAAGAATTATATCATTGAATAGCTTTTAGGGTTAGCTTTCTTTATTTGATTTTAAAATTCATTTCAAAATTTTCTATAAAAAGTATACCAATATTTAAAATCTTTTTTCAAATGGTTTTCCTTATAATATATAGATTATTTTAGAATAAGCAAGATAAGCCTCGAAATAAGCTTAATAAGGATTCCTTATCTCAAAAAAAATAAACAAAATAAGCTTAATAAGGATTTCTTATCTGAAGCAAAATAAGCTCGATAAAAATTGCTTATCTCGCTTATCTCAAGCTTATCACAAAGATTAGATTAGATTATATAAAAAAAAGTATTTAACTCAATACACAATCTTAAAGGAATTAATAAAATAAAAGAAAATAAGAAAATCCTATTAATTAAAACTTAAAAAATCGATTGATATATTTGTTTTTGAATTATCTCAAAAATTGAAATTTCTATTCAATTTAAAAGTATTTTAATGAATTTGAATAATTATAAACTTTCAATATTAAAGCTTTTATTATTCAAATTTTATTATATTGAATATTAAATTCAATTTTTGAGATAATTCAAAAAGAAATGTATCAATCGATTTCTTGAGTTTTAATTAATAGGGTTTTCTTATTTTCTTTTATTTTATTAATCCCTTTAAAGTTATATACTAAATTGAATATTTTAATATAAAAATATATTATAAAATTCTAAATATATATTTAGTTCAAGCAAAAATCTATTTTTGGGGTTTATATCAAATGATTCAAATCGGCCTCAGTAGACGTCGAGTAAAAGCTAACAAAGAGGAATTAAGATGACAATTGAAAGTTGCCTGGTGGCCTGCTTGTTTTGCTGACATAAGATAAACAGCATGTTGGGAAGATTCCGCCCAATTACGGCCTCGTGATCACGTGTCTTTGTACTTGACATCTTTTTGTTGCACATCTAAAAAAGATTTTTTAGTTTTTCTGAAAACCAAAAGATTTGACGTCACGTGAAATATAGATACGTGCATTGCTTAGATTTGCTGGACGTACCGACACCAATTGTATTCTCCACCAGCTGTCACTTCATTGAAGCCCAAGAATCTGTTCGGCTCTCAACTTCTGACTCGTAGGTAATCCGCGTCAGGTATCTCTCACGTCGCTCAATGCATTTTGCCTCTGTGGGGCGGAGTTCATTGAGCACACTGATAATGTCCTCGTAGATACGCGTGAAGATCTCCACAGGGGAAAAGCTAGACGCCATTGATGTATTGTGGGGACCGGAAAAATTGTATATCTGTAGAGAGAAGTGTACTTTGGGCATTTAGCAGAGATTTGTTAATAAGACATGACATACTCATATGTGCGCCGATGGTCGGTCGAGGATAATTGATACGCTACCAATCCTTGTGACGGTGTTTTCACTTGGCGAAATTATGTACTTGCTTCGAAAGGCAAGTGCCTCTTCACACCTCTTTCCTTCTTTGGTCGCTACAATATGCAGTGCATAATTATTGAGTGTGTTCCTACATATTACTGTTCATTGATAAACTCCAAGACTCTTGATATTGAGCAGAGGGAGGAGAGAGTTTTTGTCCCCACACGCTTGAAAACTCAAATCTTGCGAATAATCCAGAGCCTTCTTAATACTACCGGTGGGGATCTCTACTTCATCGATTTGGCAGATGAAATTTTGGAAGGTAAAACGCTGCTGGCATCTCGGTTTGAGAGCTGGATATGAGAACTATATGTATGCCCTGACATTTCGGTCTGCTTCATTTATCAAAAGCTCAAGATGAAATCTACGCTCTCGATCTTTGGCTTACTTGCAAACTTTGCAGTGGTATACGATTGTTCAGTTAGTGCTATCGCGACACTTTTACCGGCAAAATCTATTGTTTTCTATGCCACCCACAATGATGCCGGTGTAACATTCACTTCTCCAGCCGATTATAATGCAGGTGGTGGTCCGCCGGGTGGAGGGGGGTCGATCATCCCCCAAGTTGGTTGCATTATACAAGGGAATGTTTCTCTCTCCGCAACTTCACAATACAGTTTCGGATTGGCCCTGCCCGACAACTGGAACGGCTGATTTTTGTAAGTCACCCTAACACCCTCCAAAATTGTTTGACTGACAATAATTAGAACAGTCGGCAATGGAGGGTTCTCTGGCAGCGTTAGCTGGGATTCAGTTATAAGCCTCTTGTGTATCTGCGACATTTGAAAATATCTAACACAACTAGATTGATGGCATGTGGTATGGATTCGCATCCATCTCCACTGATACTGGCCATGAAAGTGGAGGGGCTGATTGAGGTTTCAAGACGCTAAACACAATGTCATGCTCGCTGTAATGGCATGGAAAGAAAGTGATACCGTGCCGACTGATATTATCGCTACAAAATACGTGAATGACACGAACCCCAATGGTGGTGTATTGCGACAAAGGCCTCTGTGTGCGTATCCAACTAAGGCTGTATATGATGGCACAGGTGACGTCAATGCGCCAGAAAACTGGAGTTGTAAGGCTGCATGATCCAGGGGATGGTACCTTCCTCAAGATGATTGATTTTAGGCTTTCTTTCTTTCACTTTACTTTCCTTACTGGTTTATCGCAAGTTTGCAACTCGTGCACCGATGTGGAAAGAAATACTGACAATACTCGGTTTCTCATCGAACATTTTGTTCTCACCCATTGTTTTTTGTTTTTGTCACTTGGATCATTCCTCTGGATCATTCAAAAACAGGCTTATCATACGTCACATATCAATCTATTCCTAGTTCTATAGTTAAACATTACTACCATGCCTTATTGTCCGCTAAACGTTTCAGAACTCCCACTCAAAACTTTAGAGCCATCGCCTCATGTTGTTGACGTCAAGAAGTATGTGGAAAGTCGGCCAGACGTATATTTATCTCGAAAGACCATGGCGCCACTCGATGCGGTCGTCACTTTTCTTTGGTTATAAGACCCTCGATATCTGCAACAATTTCTCAATCGCCGATGCTCATTGTTTGTGTGCCAAATTAAGAGGAGTCATCCCGATAACGAGAAAGTCGCGTGGGAAATATCGATTGTGCGACAAAAGATGTCGGAGTCCTTGCACACGATAGAAGTAAGTTGGGCGAAACGACTTCATTGAGACATTAGTCATTTTGATAATTTGTGATTTCAGTTAAGAGCCGTCATATCCATAAGGATGGAGGATGAAGAATTGTTAGTTAGAACCGTCGAACTACACTACATCACAGACGGACACATCCTACGATTCGAACATCACGATGAAAATTCATCCAGTTTATGGCAATTTCCCGGCATGTATGCTACTAGGCGGACTATCACAGCTACTCCAGCAAACTTGAGCCAATTAGAAACAGCGCTACTCTTTTTTACGATGGTCCTTATAGAATTAGACTGCGAAGTATTGGTCGATCCCCATATAGGTCTAAAAGATAAAGCCCCAGAGTATCATTTCGTTTTCGATGGGAAATGGAAAAAACCCAAGGATTTGATCATCTGTCCACGATTACGTAGTAGGAGATGTCCTACTCTGATAGAGTATTATCAGTGGGAATACAATAGAAGTATAGAGGCGACGAAGAAAACTCTCAAAATATTCGATGTAAAATTGCTACCTCTATGGCGTCGTTGCATTTGCCAAGCGCCGGCTACTAGAGTTGCTATAGATTTGATGGAGACCGACATTGTGAAAATGAAGATGAAAGACTCCTCCCTGCACGGTTTAACGTGTTTGAGGTGATTGTCAGGAAAAAAATTGGAGAATTTGTCGTTGTGGTTGCTCCTCTGCTTTGGATTGCGAAGAAAGGGGGTACAGGACATGCTGTCAAGCCCATCCTTGTATGTACATTTCGTATGTTCGATACTCTTCTGGATACAGACTTCATAAAATTGGCATACCGCATTTTTGAGTTACGATTAGACCTTCGAAAAGTTATCAGCGGGGTGAATAATAGTATTTCTGCTTATGCTTCTCTTCAGACTGGTGAAGTTCTTCAAGCAAATCCAAAAATGAGCAGACACCGCGAAGAAATTTGGGATGATTATTGCGACTCATGAATGTACTTTATACAAGTGTCAGATGTTTCAATGTTCTTCAATCATCAGAACTGCTCTGCTCTTCCGCCCCGTCATAAGCGCCACCTCCTCTACCAAACATTATTACCTCGAGATCCCTGGTCAGCACTTCCAAGTGTTCATGAGCACACAAATTCTATCAACATACATTAGCACATACAAAGCTATCTGAATCTCAACTCATACCTCTATAATCATGGGCAATTTCCACCCGTTGTCTCATCCTCATGATCAGCGGCACGGAATGATTGCATAGTCATCTTTTTTCGAAAGTCATTCTACTCAAATTTTAATAACTGTGGAGTTGAGACTCCCGAGTAAATTGTAAAGTTTAGAGATGAAGATTTGTAATTTATCAGTTCGGGGAAAAAAGCGATCCAGCCATGAAGAGGGAACGCAATTTGGTATGTGTTTATCAGAAACTAGCCACTAGTTGTGGTACGATCTCAAGCAAGCGATATCTTTATTCGTGGATTAATGTCGTTCTGAGAAATCAGTCTACTAGTGTAATTCTCCTTGAGGAACTGGAAGATATTCTTCCGATTTCAAGCAAGATGGGGTAGTTAGGTTGCAGTCTATCTTTACTCCATGTGTTCTGATTTTTTTCTTCATCTATCTCTAATAATGCAAACACAAATCTTGCCCCAATTTTCATCACCATTTCAAATCTTATGAATGTCGCTTTTTGATACTTGCCATGGAATTGGATATTAAGCCATCATTCTCCGAGCTCACTTGAAAAATGGGTTGCCATTCTTCCAAATATTTACGAGGAGCCAATTACCACTGTACCAAACGATTTGAGCAGCCGAAGGATGACTGTTCCTTTCTCAAGTGATTGTTTCACAATAAGTTCTGTCTACCCTGTATCAGCTCTCTCTACTTCCTCAAGCATGCATGAGTTATCAGTGAATATCCAGAAAACCTCGAATCCAAGGCCTCTGTGTCAACATGCGAGTCAGATATTTGGAGTCATGTTTTCGAATCATTGCTAGACCATGATTCATTCCGAGTTTTGCGTCGGAATAGTCACAAATGCTGTTTCGAGAACTCACATATGACAATGCCGACAATTTTAACACAGTCATGGATGCTGGGAAGTTTTCACTTAAGGGTTCAGAATGCCCAACTCTTGCAATGATGCTTTTTTCTTCTGTCAACATCAACCTTCACTGTCAACCTTAATAGAACATGTCATCAAAGCCAAATCAAATAAGGAAGAAACCAGTCTTGAAACATCCACTTCTTGTTCCTGAGAAAAAGACTGACAATCGATATGAGCCTATGCAAATCAAAGGGTTGCAAGATGCTGAGGATTACAACGCTTTCAAAGCCTGTCGATATCAAGAGTACAGAAGAACAGGTGGAACTGCAAGCAAGGAACAATTTGAACGCAGTAGAAAGCAACGTTCTCATGTTAAACCGCCTGTTCCTTTATTTGGGCAACCTCGCCCTCATGAGCCGAAGATAAACAAGCAAACTTCCGCTTATGGGTCATCGATGAATTCGCCAGCCGGAGCACAAACCCCACAGAAGACGTTTATCACAGGCAGTATGTACTTCCCCATTTCTCTCATTTATTCGTACTGATATCAACAAGTATCCTCTCATTCTGCTTTTACTCAGCCCGGATCATCCCACTCTGGTTCTCAAGAGAATACCTGGGTAAAAGCGGAGAGTGACTTGCTGATTTCGCAAATTGGTTCGTGGGATGACAATGAAGAGCCCTGGAAATTTCCAGAGGAGGAAGATCATAATTCAATTGAAGGCGCTGATAGAATAGATGGATATGAAAAATGGCGAAGAGACAGGAAGAAAAACGGCTCTAGTGTCAAATCGGGCACGACAAATGTAGAATGGAGTTATTCTTCAAGAGGATGGGAAGAGACTAGGAATAGAAGATGACCGAAAGCTGTTAAATTAGAAAAAGTCGAGCCAAATGAAGGAAATGAGTATATGGCTTCCAGGCTACTATTAAATGCGCCTGATTACTCGGTCTCTGGTCGATATACGATGGGCTTGGTAGATTCAAGACCTAGTCAAATGGAACGCGTGACTTTATAAGATAATGTGTCATTGTATGAATAATCGTGAATGTCATGTCTACAAATGATATTCATATAACATTACCAAGAATTTTAATGCAGTCATAGATGCTGGGAAAGTTTTACTTAAGCGTTTCAAATCCCCCAGCTCTTGCATTTTATTCTTCTTCCTTTCATTATCAACATCCACAAATCAATACCATAACTTTCTAAGAACATCAAAACAATACACCATGTCAAACCAAAATAACAGCAACGATGCAAACAAAGCTCAGGGCGAAAAATATCCTACCCTTCGTCTCCCAGGTGAAATGATGCAACAATCCTTTGACAGGCTTGCTCGCGAAGCTCGGGAGTTGGGCGTACATCCTGATATACATGTTGCAAATGCAGCACGTAACTCAGCAAGACGCTTTGATGTTCCCAGTGATCCTCAAGCAGATGGTAGCACGAGTGGCCATGCTATTACCGTCAATCCACAAGATGGAAATGGCACAAGTGGTATGTCACTCACATTTATCTCATGGAACATTACTGATATCAAGTTAGGTGGTGGTCAGAACACCTCTTCCGCTCCGCAAGCATCTAGTGGCTCTGGTGCTGGAACATCCAGTGGTAATGCATCGCGTCAGTCAAACCCAGGAGCTCAACGTGATTAACCCGGCGGAGTAAATTTCTCGAGAAATGGTACGGGTGGGTATCATTAAGGCGAGAGATTGGGACTGGTTTTGGCGGAAATGGAAATGGAGATGGAGCAAAGGAACTGGAAGGATGGAAATAAAAATATGGTATCGTATCCGGGAGGTGGTAATCGGTTTGGCCACATACAACTTGTTGATATGTGATGGATTTAGTAGATTCGACAATTAGTTGAATTGAATGCGTGACTTTACAAAATAGTGTGTTGTTTTATGATTAATTGTGCATTTCATATCTACAAATGACTCCTCCATTAATTCAAGAAGGTATGAGTCTCTCGCTTCAACCCGCCACGCCGCCAAATCTCAACTTCAGCAGCCCTTCTCCCACCCTCTTTACTTCTTGGCACTCTAGCTTCGCCCCCCTATTCCCTCACCCTCTCCCTTGACTTATCTCCCCCATTCAGCATCATTACCAAGCTGTGTGCTCCTCAAGCAAACCCCATAGCCCCCGCTAATAACATCAAAGTTCCCTCCCAACTCCACAAAAACAACCCTTCACCCATTCACCCCCGAAACTCTAAAATACACCCGCTGCCGCCAATCGAGAAACAATTCCGAACTTACATACCGCCGAATTATCTTGGAAAGTAGCTATAAGCTCGTAGATATTTATTGAGACGAGGAGAAAGGTTGTTGGTGTTAGGGAAGGATTGTTTGAAAAGGGGCGGAGGGCGGGGTATGAAATTGAAAACCAAGAGACCAGGAATAAGTGAAGAAATCTTACAAATTAATCGTAAAGCCTCGGGACTATTGATACTGAACTCTTCCATAGTGTTTGAGGGATCGATCATATCAATAATACGAGTGGCGATTGTGACGGTGGTTATGATGGTCAAGACCTATTCCGGTGGTGAGCGTTTCATTTTGAGAGGCGACGCGTGACTGATTGACAAGAAGGCACTGGGTTTCCTTTGCGGCACTTTCAAAGAAAGGAGCGAAAGAAAAATGTTGTGGGTGACAGATGAGATTTATATATTACCTCGCCAAAGGTGCAGAAAAACCCGTTGAGTGAGATATCGGGGATGTTAGTATTGATTTGTGCGATATATTAGGTAGACACTTGTATTGGTTGAACTGGGAGATCATTATAGAAATCACTTGTTTGATTCAGTATTTCCTTGTTATATCGTGAGATGCGTAACCATTTCTTTGTACATGTAGTCACGGAACATGTAGTCAAGAAACCTACGGAAAATGCGGAGCAACCTCACCTATTTAGGATTTCAACTGATATCGATTGTTCAAAGTTGATATCAAAACCAGCACTAACCTCAGAATGGAAATTGGAATAACCAAAGCTACTCAAGAATCCCCATTGCTCAATCACCCTTAGACTATAGAATCCATAAGTTTCAAGCGGGAACATCGGAGTTGGACATGTGTGCTGAGTGTTAGGGGATGTTGATGGCATACAATTACACCATGATCATGATATTGTCTGTCTAGGACCTGATCTTAAACCAGATCTTCGGAAGCTCTAACCGCGTCAAATTCTAACCACATCAAGTTAGCAATCCATCCTCGACACCCACCAGGTCACGGGATGTGATGACTAATCAACTCTATTTGCATTACAGCCAAGAAATTTCGCATTCCTTTCCTCTAACTTATCAACAGAAATAATAAGTAGAGACAAGATTGTATAGTCTAACTTCCAAATCATATATGCTCGATCTGTCATGTCAATCTTTGAGGCAATTATATTGATGTTCAATACTTTTTGGAGTTAAGCTCTTCATGATGCCTATCTGCTCTTCTTTCTTCTCTCTTTCTTTACAAGTTCTTTTGTCTTGTGTCTTTCAGTTGATTTCCTTTGTCAAAAGTTTTGAGCAATTTGTTCCTTTGACAGAACTGTGCAAAGACTCAATCATCCACATGAAACACAGGATGGATACCTTCAATATCCGGTCACTTATTAAAATACTAGACAGCACTTCTCGATATCGAACTTGCTCTAAGTCATGTCAAACCGACGTGGTGGGAAATCATCTTCTTCTTCTCGTAGACCTGTAGCTTCTAAACGGGAGCCTGATACGGTACTCAAAGGGAAATATGGCCCTTACCCGGGAAGACCAAACGACAGACACAGCGGATTAACGCCAATCGTGCCGCACATTACAAGAGACGGAGTTGGTACAGTCGATGCGAGTACATTACGAAGAGAACAGCAACAGAGGAATGCGTTTTATAACTTCACAGCAAAGCAATTGCTTGATTTGGATGCGAATATAACATCGACAAGATCTTTGAAAGCAAGCGATTTGAACATTCCATTACTCCCCTGCTTTGTAAGAGACCGATGGAAAACAAATGGCGAGCCGCATGCTCTTGGTCAATTAGGACCCGGGAAGTGGTTTGCCAAAAATGATGTTGTGTGGGAATTATTACAACCAACTCTTCAACTTGCCTCAATGTTGTTAATAAACATTCAGAATGACTTGGTACATTTACTCAAACCCGATTTCGAATTATCTAATAAATGATATATAGTATGATACTTTATTGTGTGGCACACGAATCCCAATCGATCCTGAAAGAATTCCTGAAAATCTACCAGAGCACGCCACACCAGAATTCGTAAATGCGCTTTTTTCTACCGAGCCGAGAGGATTAACTCCAGATGATCCAGCTCTCCAGAAGAGCAAGAAGATGCTCTTACATGCACTGTCAAGTTTTGTTTTCTTTAAATTCATAGACGTTTCCGAGACGATCTCTTTCAATGGCTGTACCAAGTGTTGATTGCAGAGAATTCCAGATGGTCCACCACTTCTTCACTGTCATATTATTTTAAACCACACCAACCTCGAGCCTTTACTACGACCTGACATCACAGCTTCTGAGAAGCTGGCATATCAATGGAGAGTGGCCGTCACACTCACTCATGAATGGTAAGCGACACCTCCTCTATACTATGATTACATATTCTAATGCCCGTCTTTAGTTTTCATGCAATGTTCAATATAAGCGACTTTATTCGGGCAAAAAAACATAAAACTCTGTCAACTTGGAACTTGGGCTCGGAGGTAAGTCACTGGGACATCTCAAGGATTCCCTCATTGCTAATTAGCCAAGCCATATTATGAGAATCACTCGATTCAAGAGTGCGGCTTTTTGATGGAGCAGGTTGCCCTCGGTGGTGTTACTCGTGGGGAGCGGAATCCAAAGGGCTCTTTGTACCCTACAATCGCTCTTTTCTGGACCGAGTGGCCAACGGTTTATTGGGCGAGCTACACGTCTAATTTTATGTTAAAAACACCCGCTCTCAATCCTCGATACAATTTTTACCCGATACCAGTAACTCATTTTGAAGACGTTCACCAGATGACTTTCTGGCTTCATACTGTCAGAGCATTTGGTACTAAGATGCTTGGCCTTAGATCCAATAAGGTGAGGATGCAGGTTACTCAACTTCCGCATTTCCCTGAAACCTATGTACTATGTGCGGATGATGGCGAAGTTGAACACTTTGAGTGGAAAGCTAGGCACTTAACTTTAAAATCAAAGCAGGATATGAGTCCAGATGAAAGACGAGCTTGCAAAGCTGGGGATGATTTAATTAAAAGAGCAGAATTGAATGAAGAGTTTTTCATCGAAAGCTCAGAACAATCCAAACAAGTGAAGGCTATTGTCGATTTCAATAAAAGTCTGAAGGACAGACTCAAAGCTATTACTTCGGAAAACTATTCTATTCCAGAACAGGAAATAAGACAGCTAGATCCGTTGGAGATCATCAAGACATCCATGCAGACTCAATATAATATGCTTATGGGTGCTACAATGGCTCATCGTGCAGCGGTTAACACTTATTTTCAAATGGCGATTTCTGGAGATGCTCCCATCGAGATTAAAGATCATTTATTGCTGTTCAACCAAGGATTTAGAGGATTTGCCAGACAGATCGCTCACGAATACTGGACGGATGAATTATCTCAAGATTATGAAGACATAGATGAAAAGCTAGAATTTTTGCGACAAATGTTATATTCGCCTACCGATGCAAGAAACGAAAAATATGCACTGGAATATGAGGAATTTGGAGAGATTGCAATCATCATGAACGCCTACGACCAATTCCACACTGAACCTGAGTTTATGAAACAGGTGATTTCTCAAGGGGTGGAAGTCTTGGAAGCTCGATGGAAAAGCTCCCGGTATTGCAGGACTTGCGCGAATATTATAAAGTTGGCTACAAGTATATTAACTGGAGAGACTGCAGACGCTTTCGATACGATCAATAAGATCGAAGCTAAGATACAAACACTGATATTTTTGTTGAATGGGGAAGACAACAAGCGTTGCGAATCGTGGACATCGACACTGGATGATATGATTAAGAGGATGAGAAAGATTGCATCAGAATTGTTTGATAAGGTTATGGCCACAAGGGATATTGAGGTGGATGAATATGATCCTATGGATGAGGATGATATATCAACGGATAATGATATGGACGATACTGATGAAGTGGATCTCATTTCCGGTCAGCCTGCTTGATATTATGTCATCTACAGAGAGACCAAAGGATTTTGTACATGAGATGGTTTCCAGACTCCAAATATCTCACAAAATGTTGGACAGCTCGACATCTAGATAAATGAAAATTAGCTGTGATATATCTCAGAATGCAGAGTTGTATCATGCTCAAGGTGCACTCTTAGTAATTCAGATATTAAAGTGAATAACTACCTCAATCATGTAACACTAGTTGAGCGGCGGCTAACGAACACGTCAATGACCCCTAGGAGATGTGATAGATTAATATTAAAGTCAATCTAATCCATATCTATTTCCGAATTTGAAGTTGACTTGACTGGGATAACAACGACTCTTTTCTATTCCTCAGCTCAATGATAATCAGAATGCTCAAGATACAAATCAAAACATCTTTGCTTTCTCCTTTGTCATTTTTCAATTAGCTCAAAATCACTGAATCATACGCCCGCCATGGCTGCCGTCTCAATAATTCTGATGCGAGCACTCAACACCGAGTAAAATCAATTTTGAGGGGTTTTCTCAACTCACAATCTAGCTACAAATATCTCCCTGGATAAACCATAGGACAATCCAATCAACACCCATCATACTTCACAAATTATCACATCTACTTGGTGATAAATCACACATCCCAAATCATCATGTCACTCTATTTTTTTCAATTCAACATACGAGTAAATCTTAAAGTGATGATATCACATTAACACTTCACCGACCCACCTCGGTAATTTTGCCAAATTGGTTTAGCTTAGACGGAGCGAGTGGTTTATGAGTTAGTCTGAAGTTGGATGATGGATGTTTTTTACATGTCAGAGAGTGTTTTTTATAGAGAGGTGTGTTATACATAATATATTGTAGGTTAAGTGTATAATCGTCTTTCTCTGTGGTTTGCGATGGTTTATTTGTTTATTCGTCTATTTATTTATTTATACAGTACACGGCTGTAATGACTGAAGTGTGAGTATGGATTGGCTAAGCTGTTTGGAATTGTATTATTGTTGTAAGTTGGTTATGAGTTGGTTATGAGCAGGATGGTTCGAGGATGAGTGTTTGGATAGTAATACAGCTAGGTAAATAGGTTATGGGGGTGCGGGAATATATGTTGGTATGGTGATCTGGGATGGAATAAAAGGTTCTTTTTTAGGAAAGGTGAGTTGAGGAATGTGAGAAAGGGATAGATGGAGGATAAGAGAGGTTATTGGCGGCCTGTGGGATTGTGAGAGTATGCAAAGCCGTGGAAGGGATACTGGTAGAAAGGTTAAAATGACATGATATTTGCGAGAATCAAGAAGTCGTAGTGGTGAGGAGAGGGTAACTGGGTAGATTGTGATGGGGGGAGTTCAGAAAGGAGGTTTCATAGATAAAGAAGATTTAGTGAGGAGGAAGGTGATCTTACAGTGACAGGACGGGGTACTTTTTAACGGTAAAAGATATGTTCCCAACGAGGAAGTGGTAGTGATAATGAAGCTGGCAAGTTAAATTTCAAAGGAACTCAAAATAGGTACCTATCTAGAGAAAAATCAACGAAAGTCCTATCCATAAAGAGACAACAAGTTGAATATAAATGAGATCCAACCATCACACAGACTATCCCCACGAGAATCCATCCTCGCAGTATCAATATCATCATGGGATATTCCCGATCTTCATAATCAAAAAGGAATCATCACCAAGTCGAGAAGAGAACCAGCTGAACAGACCATTCTCCTCCACATACACATACACATACACCTCAAGAACGAGAAATGAAAGATCGAGAAACCCCGATCCAGACCCTCCCCAAAATACAAAAAAAAGAACAAATGACATCCCAAATCTTCTGATCCCTTCCATATTTCCCCACATGTCTCAAAAATCTACATCAATCAATCCATCAATCCAGAAAAAGCGATATGATCAACTTACCCGAGCCGTTGGTACCCTTTATTTTCCCCATACATTGGAAATGCAATGCAACACCTCTCCCAAAATCAAGGATATCGAATCTCTCATATTCTAGAATCCCATCATGCACATTCCTGCGCGCTGAATTTTCATATAGATCCCCGATCAAATGAACGTATGTATGTTGGCGTGTCCACATTCCGTAGCATTCCTCGCCTGCGCGAAATAGAAACACTTCCTCATCTGACCCGAAAGAAAAATATCACTCTCGGTCTTCGCCGCGGAATGTGGGAGAAACATGTGTTGTTTCTGCCTCTGGCTGGGTCGGTCTGCTTCTGGTGTTTTTGTGAGGTGCGATGCGAAAGCTGGGTGGATGGGTCGATGGGATGGTAGGAGTGGAATGTGTAGGATTCTGGGGCAAGGGAGAATGAACCGATGAGAAGAGAATTGATGAGAAAGGAGGGAAAGTACAGAAAAGAAGATACATATATATACATACGTATATATATAGATATCCCTCCTTCCTTCGCATCGTTTAAACAAAAATCACATCATTCAGATAGAACTAAATTAATTCTCACACAATATCATATATACTATTCAATAGTATCCCACTCCCCAACTCCCCAAACCAACATTCAGATTCCAAACAAGGAAATCAATAAAAAATGCACTTCTCAACCCAAGCCCTCTTCACCACCACCCTCCTCAGCACCCTCGTTCTCTCCATCCCCCAAGGACCACCTATGAACGGCGGCGGCGGCGGCGTCCAAGGAAATGTAAGATCTTACTTATCCCCCTCTCCTCCTTCCTTTCCACCCCCTTCTCTCTCCCCCCCCTTTCTCTCCCCCCTTCTAACCCCCCCAGTGCAACTTCTTCTGCTGCGAACGCAACCTCGGCACCGGCGGCACCCTCTGCAAAAACAACACCGCAATCCCGCATCCATATTCCGACGATTGCTCCACGATGCCGATTGGAAATAAGCCGAATGGTGATGGGAAGGCGACGCCCGTCTGCTGTGCGAATCCTAATTGTGCGGGGCAGCCCGGGTGGTGGACGCCGATTACGAATGTTTAGGTTTGGGAGAGGGGGAGGGAATGGAGGAGAGGAATTGAGATTGAGATGGAGATTTATATTGGAGGTGGGAAAGCAAGGCCGGGGAAAGAAATGGCAGCGATGTTCTTCTGGAATCCAATCACAGTGTCGCATGTAATGAATACACGAAGTGTGCGAGGTAATTACAAGTTCATCAATCCTCCACATCTTGCCGTCGTATCGCAGAGCATACCACCGGGCCGGGATAACACAAACAATTCAACGATTTATCTCAAGGGATGCTCAAACATTTTCATTCTATCGTTTGTTTATTTCTTTTTTTGTTTTCGATTTGAAAGTTTCATTATCAATGTTGTTATGTTGGTGTTATTTTGTTCAAGCGAAAGTTTCGTTATTTTGACTTGTTGGAGCGAATTAGTTGGTTAGTTCGTTAGTCAGTTAGTTAATTAATTATTTAGTTAGTTAGTTTAGGAAATATAGTATAGTATACAGAGTGATACAATACAATACAATACGATTAGTACAATCATTTATGCTATTTGAGGTTACTATGGGAAAAGGGATATATGATATGATGTGTGTTTATGTAAATTTTTGAATGCGGACGATTCAGAAGCCAGAGATGCTTAAAGAGATAATCCATCAGACTTATACAGTAAATATTCCAGAACTAGAAGTAACGATATTTCACAGAACATATACTATTCCTCTCATGTGTAATTCTAATCGCTCAATCAATAACCCATAAACAAAGTACTGTAACAATTCCCGAAACCAAAGTCTTCCAAATAATCGCAAAAGCCCACGCTTGATCAACCACCTCCCTCAAAGTTTCCCCTTTCTCCCATCCTCAGAAAGCTTCAAAATGTATTTCATATTCTCCTTCTGCACACTCTCCCACAACCCAGTCTTCCCTCCTGATTCCTTTCTCAATTTTTCCTCCTGCGTCCTAAAGAAATCCTCCGCGCTTCTCATTCTTCCCGGGTGAATCTCATCCAACAATTTATAATCTCTCTCCAACACTCCATCTCGAAACTGCATCCACCAACCCGTGAAATTTCTTCTAAAACTCATCGTTGCCTTATCCTTTGGATCCGCATTAAATCCCGCTGGCGTGTCAGCCAGTGCTCCCCATCTTTGAAAATACGCATCGAATTCGGTATCGATATATTGCGCCGGATGGCCCGTAACTTTCTCAAATGCGGTGGCCATCTCAGAGTATGGGATATTCGCAATGGCGACAAGGAGATCCATACCATTACTACGCTCTGGATGATCGAATAACCATCGAACATAGGGTCCGCAATCTTCCAAGCTCACGTGAGGTACTGCGCCATCTCCCAATGGAACTCTCCATGTTACAACACCATTCTCTACACTAGGTGTCATGACTGTAAGTTCTGAGATGGCCATTTCGATATACGGACCCGTGGTAAACAATGCGGCTCCCATTCCATTGGGGTTACTTTGATTTTGCCACAAGATCCATTCACCGATTCTTCCTTTCCCATCATAATGACCAACATGATATTTTTCCTGCCATCCACCTTTCTTCAAGCCATAGTCAAGATTTCCATAGACGAAGAATTTAATACCCTCCTGAATAGCAATTTCATAAGAACGAATGGCCCAAAACATTTCGGTTTTTTCTCCCGTGTTGAATCCATCAATGTTAACAAATGCTCCATCGCAACCTTTGTAGCCGGCACGAAGAATCTCTTCATCGGCAAAAGTACCTTCGAAGAGTTCTACATTTCCAAGAGCGAGAAGTTGTTGAGCTCGAGTGGATGTGGTGTCGCGGGTAAGAACTCGCACCTGATACTTTTTATCGGCAACGAGAGATTTGATGACAGGAATGCCTTGAGCACCTGTACCGCCAATGATGAAGATTTTTGAAGTTTGATGAGATGACATTGTGTTTGAGGATTTAGTTGTGTAGAAGGTTTGCTTGAGGGGAGAGGAGAAGAGAAGTGTGGTATTTTTGAGTATTGGTTTTGATATTTTCAGTGCCAGCTGTGACTTTATAAATCCAGATAACCTTACTGTTGTATTGAAATATA